GTATTGATCCTCAGTCTGCAATAGGAACACTTTAATGGAGTTCTTATTCCCCATATCATTTATGCAATACCTGGACCATGTAGGATCGTTGACTACGGAGCGAAGTCACGCAACCAAATATGTCGACCGTGTTCTCATAGCGGAGTCTTTCAAGCATACAATCCACAACTATAAACGCTCCTGTCCTACCAATTCCCGCACTGAAAAAAATTCAGGCATTTAAAGAAGACTATTAGCTAATATAAATATTAATTCCCACCTGCAATGTGAGATGATTGGGCCAGCATCCGGAGGATTCAAAGTCTTCACCCTCTTTAAGAATATCAGGAATGGGGTAGGATGGTCAGGCACGCCGTGATCTGGCCAGGCAGTGTACTAAAGAGAAAGTATGCAAAAAGCTTATCACGATGAAAGAAGTTTTTATTAATTGTGTATTATTGTTTGTATTATTATTAACAAATTTCTGACGTCTAATTATGCGAATAAGAAGTACAAAAAATTTGAAGTTCGTATTCTTTAAGTTTTTGGTTGGAATATATTGGGTAGCAATAAATGAAAGCTGTCTCATTGAAATTGCAGCGGCGCAGTCAGCGATAATACCAGACTGATCTAAAAGTTCTGCTAAGATTTGCTTTTGATTCTCAAAGCTTCATTTAATTAAAGGAAGAGTGGAATAAAACCCTTGCCAGCAACATATGACTATTGTACTGATCTAGCGCATCCACTAAGCGAATTGTGAAGTAACTTCACAGTAGCGAGGCTATATCTGCACTGTCTGATGCGGAAGAGATGATTCAATTTAAAGCGCAGATTTACGGCTTTCAAAAATGTTCATCAGCTGACTAAATTACGCGAAAAAAATCACGAAGATTTTTTTTCAGTTTATGGCGCTTTGATGGGTATAGAAGAATAAGACTGAAAAAATCGCAAATAAGTGATTTATTTCAAATAAAGCGTGCATGTCAGGTGTAGCTCTGTCTGAATACTATTAGCTTCGTTATGTAATGCTTTCTTTGAGCGAAATACAATCGCTCATATTCGGCCATCTCACAATTAGAGTTCCAAGTTCCCTATCAAAGAGCTCGAAGTATGACAATCGTGATGAATCCTGTCGATGACAATGTTACAGATATAGCATGCCAAAATATTCTTGCTCCGCTACCAGTTTTGAGCAAAGCAATTTCATTGGCAGAATTTTTTGATCAACCTAGTGAATAAAAGCATTTTACGCTTTTTTGTGGTTCTCACAATTTTTCTACACCAGGAATTTTCTACGTTTTTTTCCCAGCTTTTTTGAATATCTTATATTGCAAGCCTTTCC